AGCATCAAACAGACCAACGTCTAATTCTTTTTCATTCTTGTTGAGTGAATAAGGTTTGCCATAAAGGATATTTATAGTGCAGAAATATTTATTTCTTTAACGCAAATGTTCAAAAGTCAGTTTTGTGTGTCCTGACACATTTCAACAGCAGCTGAAAACAAATATAAATGTTTATAAAATACAGTGAACAGAGATTTAGCATTTCATTAAAATGGTGCTCACAGTCTTGATAACAAATCCCCTGCTATGTCTCTTCTATAACATTCAAATAACACTGAAAATACTATATGTTCTGATTTCCAGATCTACGCTGATCAGTGGCCTTTAACGGCACTTTTAATTGGGCTGCATAAACATACATGAACCCCTTTGTATTCACACTTGTGTGTGTGTAAAATAAGATTTTTAAGTGTTTACAAAAAAGGAAATGACAGCTGTAAGATCATTGGACACATGTCTGTGCACTGTGAGTATTAATACTGTAGTCCATCTTCTTCATCAGTGTATATTCATATAAACCAACTGCAAGTCTAATGGAGCTTGTTGGGCCCTTCTGCATACATCGATCGAGGATGTGTGAGTCGGAGAGGGTGGGTGTTGGTCGGCTATTGGAGTAGTATGTGTGTGCGCTATAGCTTTGGCAAGTACAACAAACCTGAGGGGAAACAAGTGCACTCGCCTTTCTCCAACCTCTACCCAATTAAAGGGAATGAAAAATCCATGAGCGCTCATTAGATGGGTTTACAGGTGGCTAATGAGCTGATATTTAAAACTTGTCACTTGCCGTGTCTTGCTCTCTCTCTCAGTCTCTCTCCGTCTTTTTCTTTCTGTCTCTGGCTACTCTCCAGGACAAAGCACCAGCGGGTCTGCCGGGGTGCCAATATTGCTCTGTATCAGCAAAATGTCAGCCAGGAAACCACACACACACACACACACACACACACACACACACACACGGGATCCAGACTGCATATCCCCAATGCCTATTTCCATCAACTGGAAGGACGCATTCAAGATGGACGACCTTAATTTAGCTCTGGTAATATAGGTTTGTAATAGGGTATCTGACTCGAATGAACTATTTCACTTGTGTCTGTAATTATGCACATGATAGCCGTTCGAGCCCTTATGGCCTCAGGGTGGTTTGAAAAGTTTTACTTGTTGTCCTCATTAAAAATCACCTCACCTTTTTAACCACCGTGTGATAAAAAGGGTAATTCCGCCACGACCCAACGCCTCGTCTTTCATGCCAGTAGTCTATGCGTAGGCAAAAGCTGCGTCAGGTAGATTGCCTGCAGACCATAACCACTCTAGTTGCAGTGCAGGAAATATTACCTCAGTAATCTGCAGCAAGAGGCATTTCAGCAGGAAATGGCTCCCTGTGCTGGGTTGTATATATGGCCGGGGCTGAGTAGAGCTCATAATTCAATGTGGCCGTTGGCACTTTTCATCCTCTGTCTGCTGGAGCTGGGTACTGGCTAAATGACAGTGAAAGCCACAATGGCACTTCCACTATTGCTTTACGACAAGCAGAGACCCTGGGGCACCATGACTGGAGTGCTAAGTGAGAACATGGCTGCCAATCACTTGATATTAATCTCTCTGTGTTCTGGAGAAACAGATGATATGAGAGGGGGAAACCTGCAGCGGGAGGAGCTGGGAAAGTGGACCCAGGTGGTGCAAGGCCGACAGAAATTAGCTGTGCGTCCGCTCAGAGCATCCAAGGGCTTCACACTTACCTGCACACACACACACATAGCCACCTGTATGCACAAAGACAGTGAAGGTCAGTGGTCTGTAGCCTTCTCTCTGCCATAGAGAATAATGCGGTAAGACATGAAAGCGCAGAACATATCACTCAAAGGACTGCTCTGACTGCATATGATGTTATTGATTGCTTGCAAATACTGTATAAAAGGTCCAGTGTAAAGATATATGAAGCCAAGTAGAAAGATCAAAGGTACAGACATGGTGAACCCCTTCTATACTGGCCTAATATGATGTTTTTGTACATGTACATGTATAATATAGTTGAATGACCATAGTATCTTCAAACAGTAGTGCTCATAGTATAATAGATGTACGAAATTACAGTAATGCAACATGACACTTCAATGACACACAGTGATGATGATTCATAAATCTCAATTTACTGCTGACAAAAGGGGGAAACAGAGGGTTTATTATGTAGTGAGTAATGATTGAGTGAACAAGGGAGTGATTTCAGATGCAGCTACATTGTCCAAGAATGCTGGCTTGTTGTCTCTGTCCTCCACAAAAAAGGACCAAATCCAATTGGCTCTGTCCCAAACAATGAACCCAGTTTGTTAAAAACCAGACTGTGTAACCTGTTAAGAAGTAAAATAAATAAATAACAAGCATTGTATAAAAACTAAATTAAAAATAGAATAAAAACTATACAAGAAAAAATTATACGGTAAAGTGACAGTAATGTGATTAATAGCAGCAAAGTCAACAGTCTATGTTAACAGTGTACACCAGACTAATATATAATATGATTAAATAATGGTATTTATTATTTAGTGGTATTATAGACTGTGATTTCCACTGTTGTTGTACAGTCTGATGGCAGCAGGTACAAAGGAGTGCCTGAAGCGGTCCTTTTTGCCCCTGGGTTGGACGATGAGGGTAATAGAGGTTATCTAGGATGGTTTTGATCTTGTTAGACTCTCCAGCCTTGATGCCACTACCCCAACACACCCCAGCAAAGAACAGTGCACAGGCTACTACAGACTGATAGAAGATAACCAGGAGCCTGTTGTACGCACTGGATCTGAGTCCCATCAGAAAGGAACAATAAGTTCTGTCCATTCCTGAAGAGGGCGTCAGTGTCAGAATACCAGTCCAGTTTTTTTGTCCACTCTCTCAAATTCTCCCCTTTGGATGAGAGTCAGCAGAGAGGGCCTCCAATTCCTCTGGTTGTCCAGCTGGCTAAAATATCGAGCTTCAGGTGATTGTTGCACCATGCGACAAACCTCTCTATCATACTCCCTCTCATTATTATTTAGTATTCCAAAAACATCTGAAGGTGGCAGAAACCAGAGTTGAAACAGAGGTCTGGGGTGTAGAGTGTTAAAAGGAATGGCACCAGTACAGTTTCTTGATTTGCACCAGTATCACTAATCATAAATGTCTGAGGCAAAGCCATCCACTCTGACCTACTGGCAGGCTAGAAAGGTAGTCCATGGTGCAGGATGCAGTGTGCCAAGGTGCAGTTGCATTGCCATGAGCTGGGTGGGAAATTTAGCACCAGTCACCAGTAAAATTCTGGTAAAATATGAAAGCGGTTGGTAGATTTCAGACACAAAAATATAATTTACTAATGAGTGGCTGGTGAATTTGAACAATCGTCTGTCTCTGACTTCTGAAAATCTTGGGAAATAAAGGGGAATTTAATGTGTCATCATGCTGTAATTTCCACTTGTGGCAACTGTTTTGCAAAAGTTATGTCGTATTGCTCTACCTTCATTGGTCATGGATGTTTTCATTCTTGTTTATGGGGACTTCCACTCACATATACACAACCAACAATCACAAATCACTAATATATTCTCTCATTACACTTATAATATAATATAAGCAATATCCTCAATTCTTTGCTGCCTTAGGTTTTAAATGATGTATGCTAGAAATGTTGGTTGGCGTCAAAATGTTGTCACAATATGACCCAACACCCAGAAATAAACAGTGCAGTAACAGATCGTAGTGAAGTGAGGTGAGTTGCAATCTCTAACTGTAGCTCATGTTTTGCCTGAAACCCCATTATGTGTCATTTGTGTGTAAATGTAGTGACTACAGTGCCACAGCGGTAATCCAGTCATGGTCTGCATTCATTTAAAAGCATGATAAAACTGCATTGTTCATTAGACAAATAACTGATACAGAATAATAGACCGGATACATGTCTCGATCGTGCAACAGATTCTCTATGTTTAATGTTAAAGATCCCCTCCAGGCAACATATAATAGTGTGCGTGGAACAGTAATTAACAAATTAATCAAGGGAATCAAGGAAATGTATTATCATTATACAACACAAGGCTGTATAAATGAACGTTTGCATGCAACACACATAGAAAAGGATCAATAAATTCATAGAATAACATATGTTATTCTGTGAATGTGTGCCTGATAAGTTTTATATGCAAAAAATATAATTATAATAATAATTTCCAGATTAAAATCCTTAAATATGCATCTAATTCTTCTACCTAATTAAAAATGTCCACATTTTTCGAACATGAATTTGTTATCTGTTTATATGTTGCATATTGAACCAGGATTGCATCTTGTAAATATTTTTGTGCCTACTACAGTTCTACAGGCTACAAAACAAGCCATAAAGTGTGTGTTAGTTCAAGACCTTTAGTAGGCCTATGTTTATGAGGAACCTGCACACCAAAATAAAAGCCTGATTCAGCTGGTTTCGGCTTTCATATATCTGTTTTTCTCCTCCAGAAACTTGCCTGTAGTTTCACTTTGACTTTGAATTAGACTTATGATGCCCCTTTTTGGGGGTTTTCTCTGAAATGGTTGCCATGGAAATGCAATTTATTTTTGGTGTGAAGTTTTAGATGTGGAAACAACACTAAAATGGTAAAATAAACAAATAAATACATTTGACAATAGTTTAAACTAAGACCAAATAAGTTGTGTGTCTGTACTCAGATGGTGTGGTGTAATGAAAGGATATAACTTCGGTCAGTTAGTCGTAGCCATATATGTCGAAAGGTTTGTGGCAGTTACTCATTGCTGTCTGAATATCATTACCGCAGCTAGTCATATGACACACACACACACACACAAGTGGCGGAAAGAAGCACCAGCGCTTTCTTCAACGCACTTTCTGGGATTCTACGTTACGTTCGCAAGAACCGTTGGTGGTTGCCATGGAAATGCTTTTTCTCTTTTTTTGGTGTGAAGTTTTAGATGTGGAAACGACACTAAAATGGTAAAATAAACACATTTAAAAAATAGTTTAAGCTAAGACCAATTAAGTTGTGTGTCTGTACTCAGATGGTGTGGTGTAATGAAAGGATATAACTTCGGTCAGTTAGTCGTAGCCATATATGTCGAAAGGTTTGTGGCAGTTACTCATTGCTGTCTGAATATCATTTCCACAGCTAGTCATATGACACACACACACACACACAAGTGGCGGAAAGAAGCACCAGCGCTTTCTTCAACGCACTACGCAGTTGGCGCAGACTGCTGCCCGCCTCTCTCTGGGATCCTACGTTACGTTCGCAAGAGCCGTTGGTGAATACGTGTTCTTTTTCGCCCGTTGACGTAAAAACGATTTTTTTTTTTTTTTTGGTACCGAGCGGAGAGGAGATGCACACGGCACTCGAGTGAGGTAACTATATAAAAAACCCATTTGTTATCATTCACTCCCACAAACATGGACCCGGGCGGCGTCCTCCACAACGTGAACATGTTACTAACCACCCGTGTGAACGTTTTGTTGCCGAGTCTCAGACACTCAAACGCCGTCGTGGCTCTTTTAAAAAAACAAAAAAAGCCTGTGAGCTAATTGTTTTGTGCTAGCTGCTGTTAGCTCGGGGTTGAACTGTTTCCTTACGGAGGAGGGAGCTAGCGTTAGCGTTAGCCTGTCCGAAAAAGGGCAACGACACAACAACAACAAAGCTGGTTGGCTTTTAATGTGGTGCATCTCGTGTGGGGCTTTTTTTTAGCGGGTATTGGCGATTAGTGTGCTGGTGATTTTTTAGTGGTTTTAATAGTTGCACCGTGTTGTTTTTACAGGCACGTTTCAATGACAACGGAGCTCGCTGCACCACGTGTAGCAGCTTTAAGACTTTAGGTGATGGGCGGTGACAGTTTCTCCACTAGTCGTAATAACTCATGGGAACGAGTTGTAGTTGCAATTAAATCGCGTTAAATCGCTTTAAACTGCGTGTTTTTGGCGGACACCGCGTGTGTGAGCGGCTGCTTTTTGGTCGTACGCAAAATGTGACATTTACGTTTTCGTTACGTCCCCCGATCAGAATCAGAAATACTTAAATTATAATGATGATAACGATAATTACTTTCGTTACAACTCCAGATCTACACACAGCATATGATATGTTAAGAACACGTGTATATATATATCTGTTTAAGGTGACACGTAAGGGATGAGGAACAGGTTATAAGTCATTGAGTTGCATAATCAGGATACAAACGAACAAAAAACGATGTAATCAGATGTTTTTAATATGAAATTAGGGATTATTTAGCAGGTTTAAAGTTAGGGCTGCACGATGTTGTAATTAATAATGTGTTTGAGAATTTCTAGGCCCGGTACTGACACACATTTATACATTTATTATTAAAAAATCGCAGCTTTTTGCGATTTCTAATCAATATTGCAATTAATTGTGCAGCCTTAATTAAAACTTAAACATACATCTGACTGTCTTTAACAAAGCTGTTTGGGTCAGAATGTGGATGTACAGTACTGTCCTCAGTTATGGATGTTTTTAATCAATTAGACGACTAACAGGACTCTAAAATTACAGGTAAACTGGTTAAAAATACAATTAATCAAAGTGATTTAATAAAGCAAGCAGAGCAGACGTTCCCCGATTGTCGGTGTGGAACATCTGTATTGCACATTTCTCTCTTTAACTCGGGATTAGAGAAGGTTTGTTCTGATATAACGCAGTTAACTTCACTGTTGATTTATTAATTCTCCGTAGCAATTCAAATAGATTCTGCTCCGTGTGGAGTCAGACACAATGTGACTATAAAAACCGACCTTTGTGTTTGATAACTGTGAAATTCCCCTTTAAGTTGCGTTAGTAAACCTTATTTCCGACTGCTCCATACCGGATCTGCTTTATGATCGCAGCACGCAGCTCTGAAGTATAGCTTAGGGTTATTATGCAGACTTGTCCTTAAAAACAAGTGTTTCTTTTGTAATATAGAAAGAAAAACTCAACCAACTCTGTGTTGAATGTTGTTGCTGAAGTGAAAGTTTCTGTTGTTTCAAAGCACAAAGCGTACAGTAGTAGTAACACTGAGCCACCTCTCACCCTCTGATACGATGAAACAAACCCTGAGTGACCCTCAAATTGCTGGGTGATGTTTTTGTACATGGTTAAATATCATTCACAGCCTCTATGGAAGGTTTGTACTGCAATATAATTAGATAAATATGGCAATTTGTCCGCTGAAATCACAGTTTAAACCCTCCGTTTTTGAATCCTGAGCTGTAATAAGAATGATGGGAGATCAGCAACAACGCTGAAGCCTCAAAGTGTCCAACGTTTACATTAACTGCATCTTTTGTTGAGCTAAATTACTTCTTTGTGTGCATTTGTCTTTGAATGTTGTCTGTCGAATCCACTTTATCTCCCCTAAAACGTTCATACGAGTTACAGTCGTCGTTTGAACGTAACCCAACCTCGATACCTTGCGGTTTTGTAAACACAAGTCTGTTTGTTTCAGTGCTCACCGTGTTTATGATGCAGTCTTTAATGCAGACAGCAGTTTTTAAAATCACAACATCTAACACATTTTAACCAATAATCGTCCCTCGAGGACTCTTAAGCGCCAATAAGTTGCAGTTTCTTGTTGAAGAACAGCTTTTAACCAGAGCGCCGTGTAGACGAGGCGTCAGTGAACGCGTGTGTCGTTTGAACCGAGAGAGAGAGAGAGAGAGGGCAATACTAGAACGCTCTGGCACCTGTAAGCTCAGGCTCCGTCCTGCCAGGACCGGGCACGGGTCAGTTCAGCATCACTAGCTCCTGCAAACGTAACCAGGGGAGAGGTTTCTTTTTTTTTTTTTTAAAGGAGCTTGCCCACATGTGGGGTTTTTTGTTTTTGGTACACATTTTCAACGTTCCCGATCCAATCAATACATCCGAAAGAAATATAACTGAACGTGGGGGGGGCAGCAATATCCTGTAAGTAATACCCGCACACGTACACAGTAAGTAGGCCGGGTCAGGTGTCGATCCACACCGAACCACACACACACACACACCACACCACACACACCTCTGTGCTCTCTCCGCTTCTCAAAATTAGTTAAAGATAACCGGACTCCAAAAGGCCTCCAAAAAAGCCTCTCCCACCCTGGGGGTTTGCTTATGTGGTGCTGGCGTTTGTGGCTTTGGTAGGGAGGGGACTTCCTGACCTTCCTGGCTTTGTGATCGGAGGTAAGCGTCACCAGTTGTTATTTCTCTGACATCTGCACATCTGCGCTGTTCTCGCTGATCGCTCTGTTTACCCGTCTGCACCTCGTCTTTCAGCCTGAGACTCTTTAACGGTGCGGTGAACATGCTTCCAGGCCGCAGAGCATCAGCACCTGCGTCTCTCTCTCTCTCGCCTCTCGCTGTTTCACCGTGCGGCTCCTCGATTCCCGCCGCAGGTGCTTTGAACAAGCCTGACTCACTGGCTCCAACCTGCAAAACCTGAACTTGTGGTATTTGTTGTCGTTTCGCTCCACGAGAAGTTCTGGGAAGCGGTGGCCTGTTAACATCGGGTTTCTTTGAACCTGCGGTGTGTCACGGTAGCCCGCAGCCAAAACTCACACCGCAGAGGGATTCGGGGGGTTATTTGTTTTACCCGCGACTTTAGATAATCACATGGGCGTTTAAAGCTGTTTAAAGGAGAAGAGTTTAAAAGAGGTTTGACTTTTCTGTTCTCATTCATTTGATTTCAACTCGTACTGAAACATAAACGTGTCTTCGTCTCTGCAGTGAGCGCTGGGAACACGGCAGGTGTTTGAGTCAGGAGGTTTTCAGGAGACCTGCCACACAGCTTACGACTAATGTCACAGAATAGCTGCTCGTCGTCGTAGGATTGCTGCTTTGACCTCGCAGCATTAGTTGGGTGTTTTTCCGTGTAATGACATTAACCAGTATGTCTCCTCATAGTTGAGCTCATGTGTGACAGTCTGTTATTTCTCCAGCTGTGTGTGTGACTCATCTATTTATCGATTTCCTTATTGATTGATTGAGTTTTTTGTGTGTGTGTGGAAACATTAAACAGTTTTATTATCTCTGAGTCTGAACTGTATAAACAGAATAGAGTTATAATAGTTTGAGTTTCTTCACCGTGACTCATCCTTGTTTCCAGTAGTTTTGACGTATGAATGAATTATTTTGCAATCAGCAACTGTGAGAAAAAGTCTTTCTGGCATTGATAGCAGAGGAACCGATAATGGAACCGGTTTCATATTGATTCCCGTCCCTCGGCAGATACTGCTCCTTTAAGATTCCCACAGACCATCTGTTGTGAGTTGGGTCCATCTGACATCTGGCCTCTCTTACACACCTCAGGCCCTACTAAAGAAAACCTCTGTATATATTTATCCTCTTGCTTCAACAACAAGAACACGAGTGGACACAAATATTGTAAGAAACCAGTGAAATAAAGAAATAAAGCCGTTATACAGGTTATATTTCTGTTAATGCGAATTTTTTTTAATGCATTTAAACTGACTCGATGTGTTTGTTGTGTTTTGTAAGGAGAATAAATAAAGATCAGGATCAGTGGCAAACACAAAACACACAACTACTTATTAATAAAATGCCAAATGTGTTTTTGTTGAACACCAGAAGAGATTTTTATGCATATGCATTTCCAGTTTTTCATTTTCCCTCCAGACTTCCCTCTGGCTCGATACTGAGAAGAGGAGGATGCGTACGGTCGTGTGAGAATCATATGAAACGGCTTAAGGGCCAAAGTCAGTTTTTTTTTTTTCCCCCATGAAAGAAATAACAAGTTTTTCTGTCGTCAACAACCTTGAAAATGGGTCAAATTTGAGTAAGTAATGTATAGAAAAAGGTTTCAGAAGGGACAGAAAGATTTTATGATGAAGTTGTACAGATATTTAACTTGGTTACTACAAATGATTTTGATATTTATGCTCATTTGTTAGCTCTAACGTCTGGGAGAGGATCTGTCACAGTATCATTAAGGTGTATTTTCTTCTCTCCTCAAAGGAATTGAGCTGTTTCTAAACTCCTTCAAGACATTTATAATTTTCTTTTCAGGATGGCTGCTGGGTAGTAAAAACAGTACAGTACAGTTCGAGGAAACATTGTGTTTATGAATCAGACAAAATGATATATATAAACGTCCTACACGCCAGTTTACCCATGAATTTGTCCAAAAAGTTACAAGAAAACGTTTCCACACTTAACATGTATGTTCTCATTTCATAATTTCACATCAAAAAACCCTTAAAAACAAAGCGGCTGTGTTTTTAAAGTGGCACTAACAGTCCCAGTGTGGTGGCCTCACAATTACACACATATATAATGTCTCTGTGGTCTGAAATAGAAAGCAGACGTGTGTTAATAGTAACTAAGTTCTATCTAAGTGTTAGTAAGTCATCAGTTTTATGTTTCACCTGGGCTTCGTTGTGGGCTCTTTGTTGTGGTGAGTGTGGGTTGTTTGTAGACATTCATAAGCTCGTCTTTTCTAGTGCTGCTCACTGTTGAAGCTGTAGAAAAGCTGAGTCAGAAGGCGCTCGGGAGCACGCGTTAAAGTCACATCGTTTTCATTTTTTTGCGGAAAGTTTTTCCAGGAATCTCGACACAGAAATCAGTCCGCGGGCTGTTGTAGGCAACCGAGACGGTCGGGCATTTGCTCGACCAAATACAAGTCCATTTGTAATTAAAATGAATTAATTAAGTATATACTACACTAATACATATATTATAACTGCCACGATCTTCCTGTGAAGACAGATTTTAAATTCTTTTAGCTGCTGACAAAGAAATTGTCCTCTTCTTCAGACAACCTTTGTCGCATAAGTGGAATTTTTTTGTTGGCTTGAGGTAAAAAAATGTGTAAGGATAAGCCTGAATTTCACCCTTGTTTCCTCTTTAATATGTTTTCCAGAGTGCACGTTTCAGAAGAGTTGTAAAACCCCTCAAAGAGAAGCATCAGGACTGGGGGCCAAGCAGGAGGACACGTATTACAGTGAGTTACCAAGTGAATGTATTTCACAGTACCATCACTGAATGATTTACTTGTCTTGAGCTGAAACCTATTGTGATCAAATCACCGTGGACCGAGGGAAATCAGTAAGTAACGTGCTGTTTCCTGCATTATTATTTCAGTGTTGTTGTGAATGTTTGCCCGAAAATAAGATGATAATCTTAATCCACACTTAAAATAGATTTGTTATGCTTACTTTTTAGATTTGGGTTTGTGTAACACGCAATTAAACTCTCCTACTTTTACCAACTAGAGATTCTCTTGCTTCCCTCGAAGAAGAAGCACAATAAAGACTCTAATCAGGAAAACACAGCAGGCTTTGTTGCTGTTCGGAGGGTGTGCTCTTAAAAAAAGGTCCTGCTTTTGCCCCAACCTATCTGCTGCAAGGTTCATAGGTCACTGCTGTCTCATGTTTATAAATACTGTCTCGTCGACCGCCATGAAGTAGGCTTGTAACCACACTTAAGATCTGCTGCTTGAACGCCATCAGTCACTCCTTGGCCAGACTAAAATTCACACACTACTCATTCAAGGGGCACACAGCGGTAAGTAGACTTTTCTAAAGCACGAGAAGGAAGTCGGTGTTAAGTAACTGATTTTATTTGGCGTGGATTTTGAAATGTATGATGGTGTTGAATTGCGCCACATGGTTTATCATCTGGATGAGTCATTCTAAAAGTTTATTTTGGCTGTTTGTGAACTGTAGTCGGTCGTAGAAATGTCTGACAGCAATAATTCTTCACTACAATTTGACAAAAGATCTCTATATGAAATTACACGAACTTTAAAATACTGATATGAAATACTACTACACAAGTTCTTAATCTTGTTACGTGGGGAGAAGGAAGTCCGTAACAAGTCATTAGCTGATAAGCTGATGATGTCGTCTAAGCAATGATTAGGGCTTTAAAGAAT